GCAAACAATAACTTGGTCCTGTAACATAATACTGTTAATAGTGTTAATTAAAAAAACCTGTAGCAACAATGACAATAATAATAATTGGTGTATATTTAAAATAAAAGTTTACAATATATGCAACTAGAAATCTAATTTATTAACACTCTTCTTGAAGAATATGTCTCCCATTTTGACAAAAAAAATTGAATGTAATTAAAAATAAAATTGACTAATTTATAAAGTTCATATAAATTTACATATTTTTTAGATAAGAATCTAAATGGTGAAAAACCAGTAATTATCGAAATTTTAAATTCACTTCACAATTTCTCCCGCTTACTGTTTAATTCCAACAAATTTACGCCTTAATTAAAACTGCATGCAATAATTCATACGCCTAAAATTGGCATAATCAGTAGACATTTATGTAAATGAATTTTTACAATTCCTTATGAGATAAGTTTTCAACCGGTAAGTGTGCACATTTGGTTGGGGCACCTGCTCCCCCAACTTTACGTAACATTTAACGCCGTACCGTCACGATTTTGATCTGCACTTTTTTAAGATTCTACATTCACACTCCACACCTTTGAAATTATTCGAATCGATTAATTTATTTCATACATGGACATCATGAGCGTTATTTGACGAATACCAAGCTGTAAAAATAAATGTTATCAGATAAAATCTACCCTGAAATTAAAAAAATTCATATATTATTATATGAACAACTTATTATCTATTAACTAAATAGATTTATAATATAAAAACAATTAACAATTTTTGCAGTAAAACAGCCCCGCAATTAGCTTTAATCCGAAAAGGTCGCCACCCCGCATATAAAAATGAGGGGCACGTTCTTTAAATTCACTCACCCTATTGAAAGAGATCGAAAAAAAAGCAGGCAGGTCACTTTCCTTATTAGGGAGGGATTTATAAAAATTCTCGTCGACTGCGGGCGAATGTAACAATAGAAATAGCAGGGGGTGGGCGCATTTTTACGGAAGAGATAAGAAAGTAGGGGCGACCGAGGTAGTAGGGGCTCGATAGTGGGGAGAAAGAAACCGAAAAAAATATTCGGAAAAAATAATGGCGGGGAAGTTAACGAGGTGATTCATAAAAATTGTATAGGGGGTGTTTATTTACAGTGGGTCTCGTGTACCGTGCGTTGCTTATTTTTAAACGAAGGGTGGTATGTTGTATTAGGGATGTCCGTTATGTGTTTAGGGTAAGTTTTTAAAACTAGATTCTAGTAAATGAAATTGTTTTCGGCATCTCCTGAAATTTAAAAATAAAGCTGCTGCAAAAGATGCATTTTTAATTTAAATTGGCAATAGAACTTTTTATATTTTTAGTTCTTTTACACTTTGAAACTGTGCCAAGAAAAATATGCGAAGAGGACAATAATTTTGAACTTATTTTACTTATATTGTTTTGTGATTAATTATTTTTACTATATTCTTTTATTGCCGATGTTTATTAGATATTAATATTGGTTTAAGTGGAAACATATTTCAAATTTATTAATTGATAAATTGATTAATTAATTACTTATACTCTCGTAATTATTGAAGAAAGTAGGTATACATGCTAGTAGAATGTACTATTTATTTTCATAATAATAATTAATCGATAATACATTATAGTTAATAATAAATTATGTTAATTCATTTAATAGAAGGTTTAAATGGAACGAACAATAAAACTTGACTCAAATATAAAACAAACAATAAAGTGCACAATTTTACAATTAATTTACACATATTTTATATTTGAATCAAACTTACCCAGATCAGCTCGTTAAATTTTAATTTATTACTAATTGAAACGGATATAAAAAAAATAAAATTCTCGTTCCATTTAAGCCTGAAAAAAAAGTGTGGTTCACCACGTGGAGATGTGCACTAGAACGCGATAAATGAAATAAGTGAATCACCCCGTAGAAACGCAACGCACGCTTGTAAAAAACCCCATGTGCATAATGCACGGAACTCACCCTCGCCTCAAAATCCAAACTGGCTCGAGTGGACAACGTGCCAGTGACTCCCGCTAGAAAAACACCCTCGCACACTAGCCAGTACTCCCCTACCGATGGTGGGGCGGCCGAAAAAATGACAAGGAGTATTTTTTCTCAACCCTCCTGGTGGGGATAGAAAGCGCTACTCCTTACGAGCCAACGCATGCGTGGCGTTAAGATGAAGTTCTAAGGTTCGGCGGTCTCTCTTCATCATGTTCTTCTTGTGTAAACTCTTCTCGCTTTCAACCCTTGCGAGTGTTTCCTTTCTCGCTTGGAAATATTAAACTTGCATATTTAGGTCTTTGTCTTATTTCGCGACTATTTTTCCTCGTTCCTATTCGCTCCCATTGCACTTGTATAAGTCTGTCCCTCTTGGCGAGATTTTACCCTTATATTCTTAGTAACAAGGCGTCGCTTTTAGACGCTGGACGTCTTTTGGAGACGCGACGCGTTTCTTAGTTATCTACGGACTTTCTTATAGCTAGGACGCTCGCGACGCTCTTATATTCAACGCGAAGTGCCGGTTTTTACTCTTAATTAAAAAAATATAAAACATAATTTCGGTAAATAAAATTATTCATACCGGTTATATCAGGAAATTTATTATATTATTTGCGCTACGTTTTCTAGTGATTTGATCGAATTATTGTAACTTTTTTTAAACTTTTGGCGCGAAGTTCATATGTGTTGAAAAGCTTTGAGCTCAGGTGTTTGATTTTCGGGCAAGTGCAATATTTTTTAACATTATGTGAGTACAATTTTTACTTATTTATTTGCAAAATTCTTGCCGCTACTTGTATAACTTGTATTCTCCGTTGAAATAAATATGACTATTTTCATTGCATTTTGTTGATCATCGCACAGATCTTACAGAATATATTTTCTAACATCAAATAGCAAATTAAATAGTAATTTATAATTATAAAATAATATATAGCTGATGGGTTTTTGAAATTTTCTCTTTAACGAAGTACATCAAAATTGTTTTACTTGTGAATTTTACTGCCTCCAAACCTTGAAAATTTTGTCTCGACAATTCGTCTACTCTATTATAAACAATACCTACCTGTTTTGTGTGTATTGCAATAAATTTAACGCAAATGTTTAATGATTTTATAAACAATAAAAAATATTGAAACAAAATTTAACGCAATAATTTTATCACATTGAGTACATATTTGTTTCAAATAGTATGTGTTTAATCAGATTTCCTACTTTTTAAATACTTTTATGTGCATTATATTTTTTAATATGAAAAACCTTGGAAATTTTTACTTGGCAATGTTGTAACTTTTTTTGTCAACAGAATAATATGTTAACATAACGTAAAAGTTTTAGTAAATAAAGTAGGTAATTATATTTTGGAAAATAATCGTTTCATTTTCAATTTATCCTACAAAATTTTAAGTTACATACAGGTACTCATAATATCAACTTAAAGTGTAAAACAAATGTTCTTACGGTTTAGTATTTTTACGATTAACTATATTTTACTTGCTCTTATCACTATAACAATTTAGTATTTTTTAATAATAGTTACTGTTTGTAAATTTTAAATTTTTACGACTATATTCAGATGTGAATACGAAACAATTTACTTGCAACCGTCTACTTAGAGACAGCTTACCTAATGAAAAAGTTAAAGTTAAAATTTTAACCCAACATTAAAATCCGAATAAACTAATTATGTAAAATATACAATTTTTAACAATATATTTTTGGTCTAAAATTAACAATTTATTACAATTTTAAAATGTGTATTTATAAAACAGTAATGTATGCAAGTTGAATTAAACCTTAATAAAAAGTAATTCGTTTAAGAGTAATTGTACCAAATTTAAAAGGAATTATACATGTATTAAATTAAAATTGTCTTTAATGAGAAGATTGCATGTTTATTTGCCTGTAAAGATTCCGTTATTATCTATGTTTTTTATAACGTAATTTATTATTATTCATTTCAACTTATTTAGAATATAAATTATCTAAAATTCCAGCGAAAAAATGTTAACCAAAATAAAATATACGTATCAAATTAACGATATTTTGAATGTTATTATTGTGTTTATTAAAATGAGAATATTATTTAATTTCAAACCATTTTATTTGGTGATAAAGAAAAATACGCTATTATTAGACTTGGGTTGACTTCAAATTGTACATGAATTGAACGTCTGGTTTTGAATTTTATTGTACTACAAACATTTTAAACAGTTGCATTTGTTGCTTTTTTGTACCGGGCGCTGACTGGAAATAATTGCCATGATTTTTTAAATGTTGGCAGTAGTATTTAATGTTGGCTTATTTTCTCGGTATTTTGAGATTTTTGAAATAATAACTGTGGAGTGTCGTATACTTTTAATTTAATTAATAATTTCCAAAAACATATCATTGAATTAAACGGATGTTGCCGGATGAGAACATTCCCATCAACAGTCTTTTTAATTTAAAGTTGTCCTCCGGAAATAATCCGAAATTATATAATGAAAAATGTCCATGTAGTCACCCGGTATATCCACGTACTATTAGGTGTAAGTATATAATTTTCCTTCCACTTATATTTGTATTGTTTTCAGATCTATCTACAATTATATTAACCTACGAAGGGTCAACCATAGAACATCTGCTGGTTAATAAAAAAGCGAACGAAGCGCGAGAGAGAGAAGATACTCACCCTTCGTGCTTTGCATACTGTATAACAACCGCTTCACATCTCAGTTGGTGTCGAATCATTTAACCGCTGAGATTAGTAACTTCAAGAAGTACAAACAGTACAAAAATCAACGACTATAACGCGTGAGCCGTTCTCGTAACGGCGTTTCTTAACAACAGTCTCAAATAACCTGTCAAAATTTTCACGACGGAGGAACAAAACATACTTAGCAATTTAAAAGTCGAACATGAGAATCTTGTAGCAAAGTGGCTACAAAATTCATTCAAGATACAAGAAAACACCGCCCTTGATCTCAGGGCGACACCGCTAACACCGCTTCAGATACCAATGGCGGAGGTAAATAATAGACCAGTCTTCAAGATGAACAACGATTTTTGGAACCAGGCGCGAGGGCCACCTCAAAATCTACCACAGAATCTATCTAATTCGAATCAAAATTCGCCTGTACCAGGATCAACCAATTCGATACCGGCTCACTCACCGAGCCAGCAAAGCAATAGTAGTCAAATCCACGTCATCACTCCAGGTGCTTTAGCTCTACAACAAGCAAACCAGCAAAACCAACAACCATCCCAACCAAACAATCAACAAGCGCACGCGCAACAAGTTCAACAACAGACCCAACAACAACCTCAGCAGCAACAGCAACAACAGCAAGCTCAACAAAACCAGCAACACAACGTGCAGCAAGTCCAGCAGCAACAGAACGCTCAACAACAACAACAGCAACAGCAGCAGCAGCAACAACAACAGGCGCAAATGAACCAGCAGCAGTTGAACCAGCAACAACAGCAACAGACCAACGGGCCCAACCAGCAACAGGGCCAGCAATCTCAACAATCTCCTCTTCTGGGCAGTCCTAACTCGCACGCCCAAGCAGCGCATGCGCACGCCTTGGCGCAAGTTGCTCAGCAGCAACAGCAAATGGTCAACATGCATCAGCAATTCAGCAGCGGACAGGCGTCTCCCGACAAACTAATGACGGAGAAGATCGTGAATGAACTACAGGTAGGTTTTTGATTCTTTAGACTGTGTCTGCATGAATAAATTGAACTATTTTGGTGCAACAATTAATCTGGTTTAAATAAATTTGCGTTATTATTTTAATATCTACATATTATTAAAAGTTACATTAATGGATTTGTGCTGTTGCAGCGAAGTAGTTTAGATGCACTTTTTCGCATTATTTTCGTTATTTTATTATAAATTTATTTTTATTTATTCGTACATCAGGAACTAACGATTTTAAAAATAAATTCCCGAGAGCGTTTATTAAAGTGTCTATATTTACGACAACTTATGTTACAAATTATTTAAAAAAAATTCAAATTCGCTCAGGAACCGCATAGTTTGTTTACATAAACCCCTGTATTATGTGCGAACGAAAATGTAGCGTAATGATAACTTGCGCATAACTGAATAAAGTGCTTCCTCCCGCTTTGGTGAAATGAGATGCTGTCGCGAAGAAAATAATCGTTATTCGAAAAATTAATTGTAGGTAAAGAGGTTCAGAAACAACCGAAAAAAAATCCAGTTAATTGCGCTATGGGGCCCTTACGGAACATATGCTGCCTCGAACATATGCGGTCAAAAAAAAATAAACTCCACACGAAAAAAAATATTAGTTGAAATTACTTTGTTTTCAATCTGTTATACTGAGGAAACAATTACCCGTGTAGTGTGTGTATTATTCCGTTTGGAGCGTTTTTAACCAGTTTAAAACAGGAATTCTAATAGAATAAAAAGTTACTTATGTCTGTAACGAGCGCGTTGAAGACGGTATTGTCTTAATTGCTCTTCGATTTTTTCATAATTCATTTTAATAATTTTATGGACGCTTAATTAACTCTAGAATGCAAATTTTTCATGGGAACGTTTCTTCGTGTTGCGCACGATGATCTACATGAAAAATAACTAATGAAAATTTTTTTCTATATCCGTCTAAAAATCGTTAAGGTAACTTATACAAAAGTCCACCAGAACTGGCTTCAGGAGGATTTATCTCATTATAATTCATACAAATTAAAGTTAATTTTTTAAAGAAAATTGATGAGTATAGAGTATATTAAAGCCATTACTGTAATATAATAAAAACGTGGGTATAGATATTAAATATTCAATTAACTTCTAAGGAGGCGTAAAAACGAACATTTAGTGAAACAAGCCGAATAATTTCAATTATTACCAACCGTGTAATTTTTTGAAAACACTTTCGCACGCTCAATTCAAATAAGACTAATTATAATTAAGCAAAGTTTGTAAGATCAAATTATTATTAGAAAATCAATTATCTAGTATCAATTTTAATTAATGTCGAACATAAACTATCTATAAGCATGAGTTGTTGAATTAGATTCATAATTATCGACAAGAAGCGATTAATTAGGCATTCCTGTTGATGAAAATGTTCGTTGTTGGAAATATTTTTCGGAAAACTTTTTCGCGCTTGGATATTTTCGGTTTCGCCGACGCGACGCGCCATCTAACCGACGACGCCTCGAACTGAAAACGCCGACGACTTTCCAGACTTTCCGACTGCAGGAAAATCGAGGAGCGCGTCTGAGATAAAAAACTCTCCGGTAGGGGAGAGTGGCGCTCGTCGTGCCGCGGCGGAATCGAACGGCGGTGATTTCGAATTAATAATTCAAACGGCCGTTTGACCGCACATGGAACGGCGATAAATAATCGACTCGTCAATAAGTCACCGATAGCGAACGAAAAGAAGTTTAATAAAATCGCGTACGATCGAGCCAACAAAGCTCGATGATATGTAGCAGGTCGTAAAAAAATGGGACGGTAATTTTTGATTGAACTATACTCTAAGGTTCCTGTGTACTATGGTTTAATAATTTTACATATTTTTTTTATATTGTAGTTTTTTTTATATTAGTAGTTATACATACATGCTAGCAGGACTATTAACTGTACCTAAACAAGTTTTACCTGATTAAGTTAATACCTTTAGGTAAAATTATCAATCTTAAATCGATCGGTATACAATTAATAGGCCTGTTTTTAATGGTTTATGGAGAAATAATGCTATCTAATTAGTATGAAAAGATCAAAAAGTGTTTTTTTGTAAATAGGCCGCAGGCCTACTATTAAATCAAGATGCTACCTGCACGCCCCTCTATAAAACTCGAAATAAGACTTTGTAGGTCTGTGTATACAAATATTAATAAATCACTCGAAAACAAATTGCACTATTTCGATTTCTAAATAAACCTATAGTAGGTGAACTTTTTTCTATGATTTCCTTTAAGTACAACAGAGCATGCTGGATGTTTGACACAATTTTTTTTCGAAATCGAATTGTTACTAATCGAATACTAAACAGTTACTTTCCCAACTAACGCTGCCGGATTTCAATCAACTGCAGAGGACGCCGTCCGGAATCTCCGAACGGACGCTGGAAGAGTGCTGGACGACGCTTCAGCGTGTGAGTTGGCTTCTTTTCAACCGTGTATCGTATTCTTCCATGCTTCTGTAGCGTTTTCCTCCGACCTGCTCCGCGATATTCGAGTCGAATGGATTGTATTTTGTTTGTCACTGTTATTTCACTCGAAATGTGGCGCAGGTTTGATTTTTGTTTGGTTTTTTTATCGTCCCGCATGTAGCGAATGTCCCTATAACAATTTATATAAAAATAGCGAAGTCATCATATTATATTTTTTAACTACTATTGCGAAATATCACATCATTTTATTTATCTAAAACATATTTAAATCGCTCATTAATTATCTTACTTAATGAGATAACAAAAAATTGAGTAGGCAATTACAAAGGTTTATTTATACAAATTATTAAGCAAAAATTTTTATCGAATTATCCCAATTCATTTTAAAAACGTATCAGCTCATATTAATTCATTATTAAATACACCGATGTCAATTCCTTCGATTATTACGTGTGTGTCAATAAAAAATATCAGGAAAAAGACCATTTGGTTCGAACTCATGAATGTCATTTCCAATTATATTTAGTTTTTTTGCATGTCGTATAAGGTGAGTTAATTAAAATCGACTCGCTTTATATAATACGTCCTTTTTTTATTTTGCACGTCAATGTTGCATTTATACTATTATATGAAAATTAACCGACATGACTTGGGGTATTGGAAAAAATACATGTCTTAAAAAAATGGTAAGTATTTTTCACATATAACACATACACATATTAAACAAAAAAAACCGCGCTCCCCGTCGATACGATTTTTATAAAGTCATGTAACGTATAATACTTATTAAACTAGGAGTCTATTCAATATTCATAATATAAGCATTAACAATGATACAGAAAGTGCTTGTAATCCCCGAAAAGATAGAAAAAACTGCACCCCTTTATTAGCCGCTGAATAAGGGGAGTTTTTTGGCATCTCGACCCGCTACAAATTTTATTAAACCAAATTAAATTAATACGCCGATTTCGTTACGTTTTTTCATTCTCCCGTCGAGATTTTTTAAAAATCATTTTTATCTGGATTAAAACGAGACGCGACCGTGCGAAAAGTAAACAAAACGGGTTGAAAAAATTGTTTTACGCCCTTTATTTGAACCGAAACAAAATTAAAAAGCGTTCAAGTGCGAAAATATTGGATTTTATTCCGCGAATATTATTTCGTTCTCTTTTATTTTTGCGATCTTTCCACGTCCCGTGTAAACTGCTCCAAAAATGGTTCTGAATTAATACCTAGTTTACTCAATTATACTAATATTACATCTGATTATAATTCAATTAAACTTTCTACTGATTTCTCACTACTATAATTTTGTACAAAGCAATTACTTAGGCAATAATCCTATAAGTAAAATAATTTATAAAGGAAATAATACTAATAACACATTAGTTTTGATTCTGCAATATGTTTAGGTAGTTCTGTTATTTCAGTATTGAAAATGTTATAAGCAATTATTAAATATCAATTTAGAGGGTTTAAAAATGAATTTTTTTGAGCAGTGTATGCTATTCCTTAGCGGCAGCGTCTCGGCTATACTTGGTGTATTTATGTTGGGAGATGTAACGTGTTGATCCGAACAGAAAGGGTAAAATACGACCGGAAGCGGAAGTTAGGCGGGAAAGACACCCCAAAAACCGAGGATGAAAATTCTTATGAATTCCTGTAAAGCCATTTATTAAGTAATAAGGACTCGCTTATCTCTAATGTGTACATGTCCTGCGCTTAATTCCACGTATTACCTTTTGTTCGCCATCGCGAGTCCTTAATTATTTTTTTTCCTATTTATGAATAATTTATAAAACGAATACACCTTGTTTTTAATTAACAAAACGTATAATTACTTTGCAACAGACTAGACTATAATAAACTTAGGTTATTGAATAAAATTCTCCAACAGTCTCTAAAAAAAACTCATCTAAGACAACAAAAGCTCATCCCTACAATTTCCCACATACATTTACTTACCCAAACACCTTTTGTTTGCCGTAAGACACAATTAAAAGACTTCTAAAACTCCTGGAAGGAAAAAAATAGTACAACATATAATTTTTTTCGTGAGAATCTGATACAGCTTCCGCAACAGCGCGACACAGGTATGATCCGAACTTCATTCTTAGAGAGCTGTTTTTACCTGTCGAAATTTACATAGGGAAATAATTTGGGGTTAATTTTTTGCTTGAAACAATCGCTCCGACGACGGGGTTCCGCTACCCTTCAACACTCCTCGGCAATAGAGGGGATCGAAAAATGATATGCATATTTTAAGAGCGCATTTTTTTTGTTTTAGTTATGCTTCCGTGTGAATCTTTTTTCCGAAATGATAGTTTTCGTTGTGTCACCGTTCAGAACCAGTTTCCTTCAATGAGAATGGGATTTTGATTGTCACTTAACAGACGGGACGCGTATTTTTTGTTCTAGGGATTTTTAATTGTGTTACCTATACTATTAAAAAACCCCAAGGGGTTGAAAACGAATTCGTTAAGTTTAAATAGTCGCTTTAATAAAAGTCTTACCACATTCATACTGTGCTCTAGAAAATATGGAAAAGTTGAGTATTTCTCATTATGCACTGTTGACAAGTTTTTTACTGGAATACTATAGGGAAAATTAATTCGAAAATAAATTTTTGTATTGTCGAATCGTAAATATTATTTTCCACTTAGGCCTACCATACACATATCGGTGAAATAACATAATGTCCCCCACGAAGTACGAATAAAATACAGCACAATAAATGTCTGCATGTATAAGAAACAGCGCGTTATCGCTTTTACGGGACATATTTTTTTTTATTGTTTCGACATCGATGCAATTTAATCTACGTTAAAATAGAATTAATTTTTTTGACATTTCAATTAAACTTCTGTCGGTCTAAATGTAAATAGTTCTTGTCGAGAGACCTCTATAAAGAAGTGAATGAACCTAAAATAGTAGCAATTAAATTTTTATTTTATTTGTTATGGTTGTGTTTATTACAATGCTCGACACAATGACATTATTAAATTTAAAATAGTGCATATTCAAACGATTTTTTTTAATTAGACGATGAATTGTTTTGAATTATTTACCATTTAACTGTTCCTGATTCGGTATGATCATGTTCCTGTTCTCAAAAATAGTTAATTCGAATGACGAGTATGACACAAAATTATATTAAAATTTAAAATCTTATTTTAACCACATTTTTTTAAGTATACCTAGACTAATTTCGCGGTGTAAATGATGACATGAAAATAAAAAATGTGATGGTGTACCTACATAGTTAAAACTTTTTGGTATGTGACGTGTCGTTTGAAAGTTGGAAACCCTTACGTAAAATTTCGTACGTACATTATATCGAGCGTTCTGCATTTTGTTTTAGACGATGGTATGGTACGAAATGGTACAAGAGAATCATGCGTATCACAACCGACGATAAAACACACCATTGCATCTTTTTAGATCTCTTTCGATACGTTTTTACCCTACATTTCGCGTTTACTGACGTGCGTGAACAGTATTTTGACATAAATCCGATTCTTTTTACGAATCACTGTGTATGAGCATGAACGTTAAATCGTATGGGAAAATCGCAAATCTTTCAATATTAGAAACCACAACACGCAACTCGCATTACATATACGTGATTTATATATACAGAGTGTCTCAGAATAATTTGCCATTTATACCCAATCATTTTGTTAACCTAAAGAAATTGATGAGTGTGTTCCATTTATATGTAGCAGTATTCTCTTCACTCTGTATAAAAAATAATTAATTAGCAACATTAACTATAATTTACGGTTAGAATATAGAAGATTTTAATCTTATAAATTGTTTTTAGCGGCACATCCGACTGCTAAACCCATTCGAAAGGTATACATGCCTTAAAATTTTAATAATATTCGTGTTTTGCAGTAATTTTCAAGTGGTTTCAAATAATTTCGAATGATTACGAGCCTAAATTTACACCGAGCTTAGCAATTTTCTAAATAATTCCCTTACCCAAAACAAACTTTAATGTCGGATTAATGCTGCTCTTCAAACCACCTAGAAACACGACATCAACGTTACCAGTTACAAATAAAAATATTATTAATTCCACCGCGAAATTTATTTAGATTTAACATATTTTACAGCTTTATCGAATGTAATTGTGTAAAATTGTATATGCAAGGTCAACGTTCTTCGAGGATTTATAGTTTTGAACAGATTCAATAAAAGTTTATTGTCGCCATTCCCGTTTTCTTCTCGAGTTATTTCATCCGTATGTTTAGTTAACAGTTCTAAAATGAATCTTTCGTGCAGAAAGAACCACAAAATTTCATACAACTCTCAGCAAAATATCTCCTATCACTCGATTAACCCCCGAAATGGCGATATTTTCGCAGACGTCGCGTCAACACCAATATACTTTTTTTTCATCTGTCTTGAACTCGCCAACTCGCCGAAAATTCATCTTTCCTCGCGACGTGTGAAGGGTGAATTTTTTCCCTCGTCGAACTGTATTTCCAACCGATACTTATTGACACCCTTAATATTCACCCCTAGCAATCGGTAACACCCCATTCGCCGCTCCATGTATTAAGAGTTATTGAATTGTGCTCGGTAACGCGTAGGGCACGAAAAAAAGCATGGACGATGATTGTCCTAACGAGAAATTTTTTCTAATCGTTCTCTTTTAATTGATTACGTATTGTCTAAAAACCTCGTGAATATTTATTAACGATTATATACAGGGTGTGCCATCTTTAAAATTAGCTCCTTATTTGCTAGTCCAACTCGTATAAGATTAAAGAGATTTATTTTTGTATACTCTTAAGAAAACTTGTAAGGATTTTATATTAGCGTGGCAAATAAAGGGGTTATTAGATAGGACCAATTAGGATTTTTCTTAATGAGAAAGTATTGCTTGCTAGGCTGGCGTTGTTTCGATCCGAAATGAGTGACTCATTTGCGCTGCTAATTAACGTATCCATTAAAAATATCATTTTACACATACACGACCTAGCGTAACCTCGCGTGGA